GGCGGTGGTGTCCCCCGAGGAACGAGCATCCCTCCGCCGGGCTAATGAGGGCGGCCGTGCCGGGCGGGTGGGGATGCTCCTGCGGTGGAGGGACCGCTCTGAACCCGGGCATCTTGTCAGCCCCAGGTCGTGCCAGCGCTTCCCAGACGAGCCTTTCTTGACATTCCATGATTTTCCCCTCTAACCATCGGAGGAGTTGGAAGATGCTGTAAGGCTCTTTGCTCTCCACCCCTCATCATGACGTGAGCTCTTTCCCAGCCCCGCTGGTGCAACACCCGTGTAAAACAGGGTCCAGTGCCTCGTGGATGCCCTGCCTGCACCACGAGCACGCGATGGCGTGGAGCAGCCTCCTCCGTCTCGGCAGCGCCTTGGCACAGCTGCAGGTTGTCTCATCTCCCTTCGGTCTTTCCTCTAGACCAGGCAACCAGTTTTTCAGCCTCTCTGCACAGTGCTGGAGGTCTTCTTCCATCATCCTGCTGTGGGCTCCCTCCAGCCAGTCCCCACCTGCCCGGAGCCTGGGGATGGCTGGTCTTCCCCAGCCCTGCCTGCTGCCAGGTCTGCCAGAGCCCTTCTTTGTGCCGCGGATTCTTCCCAAGCTCCAGTCCTCGCCTTTGTTTTTATTGAATTCAGTCCTGGCTTTTTGGACCCTTCCTCCACTTCTCGGAGAGCTTTTGGAATTTTAATCCTGCTCTCAAAAGTATCTGCAGGTCCTCCCAGCCTGCTAACATATGGGGATTTAATCGTCAGAGCATCTACTCCATCAGCCAGCTCATTAGCGAACGACTGAAACGGGCAGACGCAGCGCAGCCCCCTGTGCGTTTTTACTGCAGCGTGGTTTATTGCGTAGCCCTGCAAAGCCAGAGGAAACTCCTGCCGGTTTCAGCTGGCTCAGTAATCTGTTTTGGCCGGTTGAAGAGACCGGTAGGACGACTGTAAAACATTGAATGAAGAAGTAGATTTTGAACATTGCACTGGAAGGCTGACAGCAAATCTAAATCACGCCCCGTACTGGGACAGAGCCCTCTCCCGTAAGCTGGGGTGAGACAGAAAGTGCCTCGAGCAGATCCGCGGGCGAGGAGGGTCAGTTTTGAGGAGGTTTTGGGGTGCTGCGCGGGGCCCGGTGTGCTGATCCCTGAACAGAATCACAGAATAGTAGGGGTTGGAAGGGACCTCTGTGGGTCATCTAGTCCAACCCCCTGCCCAAGC